TGTTCTGTTCTGTTCTTTGTTCCACTGATCAGTGCTTCCTTCTTCCTTCCTTTTCTTTTTTCACTACTGATGATTAAACCCAAGGCCTTCACACAAGATATATCCCCAGCTCTCTGTATTTATTTTGAGACAGAGTCTCATTAAGTTGTTAAATTGCTTCAGCTGCACTCAAACTGGGATCCACCTGACTTAGACTCCCAGAGTGCTGCCATCATAAGCATGCGCCATCACACCTGGTTTTACCTTTTTTTGTTTTTCTGATTGCACAGGCTAAGCTCTTCTAATAAAACATTGACCTGCAGTGGGAAGAGCGGTCATCTTTGTCTTGTTTCTAATTTCATAGGGTATTCAGTCTTTTACCAGGAAACTGGATATCAGCAGCAGGTTTTTCATACATGCCCTTTATCAAGTTGAGGACGTTGCATTCTGTTCTTATTTGCTGAAAGTTTTAAAATCAGGGATTGTCATCATATTTTGTTTTACTTTAATATGATAAATTTTATTGGTTTCTGAATATTAAACAGGTCCATTATTTTTAGAATAATCCCTTATAATATATTGTCCTTTTAATATAATTTTGAGCTCAATTTGTTCAAATTTTGTTTTGACTTTTAAAATCTATGTTCATGAGGAATATTGGTTTGTGGCTTTCTATTCTTGGATTACCTTTGTCTTAATTTGGTATCAGTGTAAGGCTGACCCCTGGAATTACTTAGAAGTATCCCCTGGATTCTGATTTTCTTGAAAGATTTGTCTAGAGTTGGTACTATTTATTCCTTAAATGCTTGGTAGGATTCTTCTGTGAAGTTGTCCGGCCCTTAGATATTTTTTTGTGGAAATAATTCTAACTACAAATATAGAATCTTTGATAGAGATAGTACTGTTCCAATATTTCTTCTCGAGTGACCTTGGTAATTTGTGTATTTCAAGGAACTTGCCGATTTCACCTGCATTGTTAAGTTTATCGGCATAGAATTTTTCACAGCTACCCTTCACCTATACTTAACATTATACTTAATATTAAATATCCTCAGGCTAGGTATTGATGATTCCGCTCTCGTTTGTCATATTTGTAATTTGTCTTCTGATTTTCTGGTTGGTCTAATGCAGTTTATTGACTGTTGATCTCAACTAAACAGATATTGGCTTCACTGAATTTTCTGCTGCTTTTCTGTTTTCTTTTTATTGATTTCTGTACTGAACTTTATGATTTCCTGTCATCTGCTTATTTTGGTTTAATTTGCTTTCCTCTTTCTAGTTTACCAAGATACAACTTGTCACCACCGTCTGAAGCCTTTGTTCTTCTGTCACCGTTTGATTATACTGTTCTTATTTACATTCAGTTCTAAATACTTTCTAATTTTTTTTGATTGACCCATTGATTATTTGAAAGTCTCTTACATTCCAAAGATTTGGGATTTTCCCTAGATCTGTTATTGAGCCAAAATTTTATTTTGCTTCAAGAACATACATTGCTTAACTTGAGTAACATTTATTTGGCAACCACACGGAGCTGAATGCCCTGCAGCTGAGTCGTTGTGCACGACCTGACCTCCTTGCTCACTGCAGCAGGGTGAGTGCACTCTCCGGAAACCTGGGTCCTCTGCAGATTCAGGTAGCTGAGCTCATCGAGGACTGGAGCAGAGCCGCCTCCCTGCGGCCGTCCTGAGAGCAGCGCGGTAGAGACACAGGAGTTCCTGTGACAGCACAGGCAGAGGGCGGAGCGAGGGAGCGAGAAGCCCTGCAAGGCCATGTAGTGGCCGCCGGAAGCCACACTTAGGACCGCCCCAGCCTCCTGCGTCCTAGGACCTGGCAACCTGAGATGAAACAAATTAAAAAGTTGTCCTGACAACGGAGATCCCCAACACGAGAGTCATGGTTGACCCGCTCTCCTGGCTTCCCGCTTGGTGTTGGCCTCGCTCCCCTTCCTGCCCAGCAGTGAGTGGCCCTGTGAGGTGGGCCCTGCGCAGCTTGGCCTTTCTGGGACCGCCCAGGTGCTGGCGGCACCTCAGGTTATCTTGGTGAAGTACGTGGGGCGGCCACCGTGGGCGTGGCTCAGGTCAGAGCACAACTCCTCCCGCACCCGGTGACCCCTCCGCTGCGCAGTGGCAGAGCTGGATTTTGAAAACAATGCGTTTTGCTCTAAAGATTATGACCTGCTGGGCGTGGGGGCGCACATCTGTGATCCCAGCATGCGGGAGGCTGAGGCAGGAGGGTCACTGTGAGTTCAAGGCCAGCCTGGGCTAACCTGTCTCAAAAAAACAAACAACAAAAACTAAGGAAACAAAAACTAAAGATCATGACCCTGTTCTGGTGTCTCTGCTCAAGAAGATAGAAAATAAGTGTCAAGAGGAGCGAGTCGAGTGGAAGAAAGAAAAGAAATCAACCTTTTAAAAAAATATTTACTGAAAAAAGGAGAATATATGAGGCAAGAGCCTTAGTAGGTAAAGCAGCCCAACCCTGTTTTAGCGTAACTAATTTTAAATGTAAGACATTTCAGCAGAGAATTTGAAACTTAAAAATGATTTGGTTTTGACTGGGGAGGCTGAGACAGGAGGACTGCTGTGAGTTCAAGGCCAGTTTAGGCTACATAGGAAGTTCAAGGCCAGCCTGGATTATACAGCTAGACCCTGGAGACCAGTTCACCCGTAATTTAGCCCCGCCCAGCACGTGGCAGATGAGGGAAACTGGGCCAGCAGAGCCGGGCCTTCCCTGCAGGACTCACTTGGGTCCTCAGGGTGCTCCTCCGGTCCTAAGGTAAAGGTCCGAGCAGCTGGCGTTTAAGGCTGGCTCTCGTGGGCAGCGCCCTCCCAGTCCCCGTGTCCTGACTCCTCTTCGGAAGTAACGATGAGAGCGCGGAGAGGCTTGGGAGCCCCTCGGCCCCTCCGGGAGACACCGGGGAGCCCAGGACACAGTGCCAGCTGTGCTCGAAGATCCGAGGCCTGGCGTGCAGGACGAGACGCAGTCAGTGCGGCTTCCAAGCCCGCTCTTCGCCAGACATTTTCTCCTTGCAGTCAGTGGGTGTCCTGGGCAGCTGCTCCCCTCCTGCCCCGTATAGGATTAAAGCTCAGCTCTGCCCACCGAGGGGCACCAGTGCCGCCGGTCTCCCTGCGTCCAGAGTTCGGGCTTTGGAATTAATCATTCAAGCCTTTCTGTAGCACTGGCTTTGGGGTAGGTTTCCGATCCCCCTGGGGAGAGGTGTGCGTTGCTCCGTGGTGTTGGCCACTGAGCTCTGGTTTGCAGACTGAACATTGTCTCTGAGGTGAGGCCGCATCATGTTCACACGGAAACGACTCATTCGGGTCAGAGTTCATGGGTTGGATCTGAGTAGGTAAGACAGTCGCTTGGGAGGGTCATTTGAAGCTTCTCCAGTCCTACTAATGAGTTGGAAAAGTAATTTACTAAGTTTAATGTAGAACTGGAAAAATTTACTTCGGACCCTGCCCCAACGTTTCATGCCTTAAGACTGCAGCTTATTCACCTTGTCAGGTCTGGTATGTCGCCTTCTTGAAAATCCATTTTTATCTCCTGAAGATGCTCTTGTTCTGTTGGGGGGGAGGGGCGCTTCTTACAAAAGCAATAAGCTAAAGCTAGAGTTTTAAAATACACACGAAGTGCAAACAGGAGGGAATAACCTGGCAGCCACTCGCACTGCAGTGTAAGGAGCTAGCGAGGGAGAGGGTGGATGTTCCCTTTAGACAGGGAGTTTTTGTTTGGAATTTCGGGGAGAGGAGCGGGAAGTAAAGGTGATCGCTGCGTAGTGAGTTCTTCCAGGGGGAATTTTACAAAGGAAAAGAAGACATTGAAATCGTCCGCAGCAAAAGTATCTCTGGCTTGTCCTGTAACTGTCCCGAGGGAAGCCGCAGCTCGGTATGTTGGCGCCACTTCCCAGGAGCCTTTGCGCGGCCAGGCGCTGCAGAATCCATCCGGAGCTCCGCCTCTGCTGGCTCCGGCACCCTGTGCAGGCGCTCTGGGCTCCGCCGTCTGCAAATGTGGGCGGCCTCGATCTTCTTGGGACCCTCTGCTGCAGGCACCATCGCTTCCCATTGTGCAGATGTAGAAACCGGGATGCAAAGGGCTCCGTTGACTTCCCCAAGATCCAGCCAGGGCCAGCACTCTTTTCTGTTTGTTGGTTTCTAACCTTTTGAGACACAGCCCCGCTGTGTAGCCCAGGCTGGCCTCAAACTCACAGAGATCTGCCTCAGGCTCCTGAGTGCTGAGATTGCAGGCTTGCTCCAGCAGGCCTGGCCAAGGCTGGCACTCTTAACCTCTGTTGTGTATGGTGTTCCCTTCAGCTTGAGGACCTGGAAGCACAGAGCGAAACAGCCTGTCCAGTGTCGCACAGGCCTGAAGTGAGAAGGTTCACAGGCGCGGGCAGCCCGCGTATCAGCCGTGCACTGTGGCGACTCCTGACACTGCGGACTTAGAGCCGAGCAGGGGCCACACGGCGCAGGGCCCCCACTTCTGTGCGGGTTCCCGGGGTGAGCGAGCGGAGTGAACTGAGTCTGTCGCAGCCTCCAGGATTCGTTACAGCCTCAGGGGCGACCTTAACCCCCGAAGGCAGCGAGTCTTCAACTTTGAGGGCACGAGAGGGCCCTGGGGTGCTGGTAAGAGGCCCTCGATTCCGTGGTCTGGGTGGGCTCGGGACTCTGTCTCGCAGAGCATTGCTGTTTCCCAGACAAGCGAAGGCCGACGTGGGCCGGGCCGGGCCGGGCCGGACTGGAGGAGCGGTTTCCTCCGCTCAGCGGGTGGATGGCCGGGCTGCGGCTTAGCCCCGCAGCGAAGGCGCAAACTGCTGAGTGGGGCTGCAGAGCAGGAACAGCTCGGGACCCACTGCGCTGGTATTTTCAGGAGCTGGTGTCCTGGCTGTGTCCACTCCTTCTGATCCAGCACCTGAGCCTCCCGAGCCGAGGATGCCCTGCCGTGGGCCCGGCCTGGGTCTGCCGCGCCATTCAGCCTTCTGCCCGCTGTTGCCTGATGTGCTCCGCCTTCTGTTGCAGGTGCCCGGGGACAGCGGGAGGCAGTGGAAGCCAGCCCTGGTCGTCCTGACGGAGAAGGACCTCTTGGTGTATGACAGCATGCCGAGGAGGAAGGAGGCCTGGCTCAGCCCCGCGCACTCCTACCCTCTCCTTGCCACCAGGTACCTCGGCCTCGGGTCTGGGTGGGCTGCGTCTCGGGCGATTTTAACAGATTTGATTATTTTAGCGCATTGTCATGGCCTGGCAGTGTGGCGAAAACTGGGACCTCCTAAAGAATAAAGCCACACCTCTTTTAGACACTTAGGGTTCTGCAGCTAAACAGGAGGCTGTGCAGAGACAAATACCGGAGTTGTCATGTCTGTCACTGGGGATGAGGACATCTATCAGGTGGTCCCAGCCTAGCCGCCTCTCCAGGTTCCTGTGCCCTTGGACATGAGTGAGATGCGTGCTCGGGGTCTGAAAGTCCAGAGGGAGTCACCAGGCGAGTTCTCCGCATAGTAGCACGAGGTCTGTCACTTGGGAAGGTTGCTCTGTGCTGGCCAGGCTCGCTCAGCAGGGGCAGGTTCCTCCTCAGTTGATGTGACACTTGCTATGGAGGAGAGGCTGCCAGGCTCCGTCTTTCTCCCGGTATCGTCAGTGCACACTCACTATTCGTGTGAAATACAGCGTTTCAAAGACAGTTTTGCTGAGCTGAGGTGGACCTGCAGAATGCTGTCCATATTAACATGACTGTGTAAGTCATGCCTGTGACACGGTCCCTGAGTCAGTACCACCCTGTGTAGTCAGTCAGTACCACAAACACATCCCTCACCTCCAGAACGTTGCTTCTGCCCTTATTTGCCTTCATGTCTGTGTGATAAAACACAGACGACTCCCCTCTTGGTCTTTGTCTCTGCAAGAAGAGAAAGAGAGGGAGGGAGGGAGGGAGATCTGCACTCCCATGTTCCATTATTCACAGCAGTCACGACATGAAACATGGTCTAAGTGTGTCATAATGTCTCCTTCCTCCGAAGGCCTCTATCTGAGAACAAAAGCCCGTCAGACCTGAGTCTTGCTCCCAGCAGCTGCCATCGCCCAGCCCCAGCTTCTGTGGCCCGCACTTCCTGTGTGTGCGTTGACAGTGGGCTGCTTTCACTGTCCACACTGCTGCCATTCTCCCTGCCAGTGGGGAACGTTGGCGCATAGTGCTTGACAGTAGTGGTGTGCGGATGCTCAGTGAATGGCTGAATTGTGTCACACAAACCCCGGAAGGAGTCTGGTCCCAGAGTTGGCTGCAAGAGCCGCAGCATTATGCACTTAGCTCTGTGCAGGGGACAGGCGAAAACCAGACAGCTTCTGGCCCTAAAAGGAGAAAGACAAGGACACAGAACTGGTCCCATCAGGGTCAGGCGCAGGGAAGGGGTGGGACCCACGGAAACACAAGAGGTGACACAGGACTGAAACGAGCGCAGGAAGAGAACAGGACTCCTTCAGCTCCTCTGGCTCCCGGGCAGGGTTGGTGATGGTGCCCAGCGGGTTGACCCAAAGGCGGAAACGATTGCTCTCAGTGGCAGAGAAATAGAGGAGGTCTTCTCAAACAAGGAGCCGGGTCTAGAGGCCCCTGAAGCACAGGTCTAACACAGCACCACGATACAACCTCAGAAATCAGAATCTAAACAGCTTCAAATGTTATCGTGGATCCAGGCTCTGGCAAGGGGCCATTCAGATCCAGCCCAGCCTCGGTCACTTCCTGCATTCACACTCCAGTCCTCTGCGCTTGGCACTGATATTTCGATTCTGAGACATTCCCACAACTAAAACCAAAGAAAGGTTAGCCCGCTGTCGCTGTGTTCCAGTTACTGAGAAGAGAGCTCAGACTCTCGGAATACTTTTCAGGGACAAGAGTTGAAATAATCTTAGGCATGGCAGTGCACCCCTGTGATCTCAGCACTCAGGAGGCTGAGGCAGGATAATTAGTCCAGTTAAAAACAAAGCAGCCAAGTGAGTCGAGTCGCTGTAAACGCCACACCAGCCTAATGGTCTCCGCGCTTCCAGAACCCTAAGACAGGGAAGCTGTGTGAGCCACTTCCCTTCTCCCTGCAACCTCGAGCCAGCACCACCCTAATGACCACGGGGCCTGCGCTTGGGAGGTGGCACAATCTGCTGGCATCAGAGAGTGAGACAGTGGGAGGCCCCAAGAACAGTGATGTCAAACACAGGAAGCCTGTGGTGACTGAGTTCCTCTTCCCCTTCGCCCTTCTCCCTGTTCCTGCTACCATCCCTCGACCTTCAGTGACGTAGCTGCTCAATGCCCGCTGCAAGGTGTATGCTTGGCAAGTCCTTCCTGGTCGTACACAAGAACCTGGCTAGTTTTGGTCCACTCAGCTGTTAACAGGGTCACTGCAAGTTCAAGGCCAGCCTGGACTACACAGTGAGAACTCATAAAATAAAAAAGGAATTGAAATAAGGTAGTTTCTAGGCTATTTCTCAAGCAACATGAGAGTAAAATTAACCCTAGTACATTGGTATCTTCTCATAGTTTCTGAGCATTCAGACCAATGGAGATGGTTTTTCCGTCCGTCCGTCCATCCATTCATTCCTTAACATTCCCTCCTGTAATTCATCCACTGCATGGAAGGAGTTATAACTGGGGCGAGGGATGAAGAGACGGAAGTTCAGTCGCATGGACCTGTGGTGCCCAGGCCATGCCCAGCTGGAACCACACGGACGCATGTGCAGAGTCACTCAAGGACCACTCAGGGCCAAGGCAGCAGGCACTGCCCACCCTGCAGGGAGGCCACAGTCCACTGTGGGAGTGACACTGGCATTGAGCCGGATTGAACTACTGGAGAGAGAAGGGGCGGGAGCTGCAGAGGGGGACCTGGGTGTCCTGGCAAGGGGGAAGGGGCGCAGAGGCCCTGCTTCACACACACCCTGAGCCCACTGAGAGTAGCAGGCGTGACCTTGGGAGTGACAGTGGCTGAGTCCACACGAGTTACTCCCTGCAGCCCCGAGTCCCTCCTGCAAGGCCTGTGTTCATGTGTAAGTCTTTTTTTTTTTTCTGGTTAACTTCTACTTTTATTTTTTTTTGTATATCCTTTTATTGGTGCATTTTAGGTGTACAGTATAATGACATTCATCATTGGAGATTTGCACCTGTACATAATCTCTCCTGGTTCTTATTTTTCCCCCTTCCCCTGCCTCCCTTCAACCCCTCCATCCCTCCCTATTTACAAAGACTTTGTTTCCGTTTTTTCATTTTCTCATATTAATTCCATTCCCCTCTTTCCTTTCCCCTAGCCCTCCCACTTCCCCTTCCCCTTTGCTCCTTTTCTTCCTATTTCACATTATCTGTTATACCTTTTAGTCCTTATTTACACTTTCAGTTTCTCACACTAGAGAAACTATTCGGTATTTACACATGTGTGTCCTGCTCATTTCACTTAAGAGTATCACCTCAATGTGCATCCATTTAGCAATAAATGTCTTCATGTGCGAGTCTTGCATGTCAGAACCTGAGGCTCAGAAGATTGAAGAAACTCACCAGTGAAGATCCCCTGCAGCCCCAGGGCCGTGCGACTCAGATACCTGGGCCCCTGGGCCCCTGACAATTGGCCTGGGCATGGGCCTGGGAGAGGAAGACTTTATTCTGTCCCGTTCCACCCTTGAAAGTCGGAACCTGGGAGCACTAGGAGCCTTGGCAGGTGGGAGAGTCATGGGTGTGATGTGGGAAGATATTTTTACCTTTGGTTTAAAATAACGACAATCTGAGAGGTGATTGCTGAATCCAAGTAAGTGGTGATCCCGATTTTCTGGTAAAAAGAAAAAAGGAAAAAAGAGAAGAAGTAGATAAAAATTAAGCCAGATTTCTGTAAGGACCCAAAGTTCTTGGCTGCAGGAAGAGGTAACGGCTACTCATGAGTCCCTGGTTTCTCCACTCTTCCCTGTCTGTCCCCAGGTTCAGCAGTGGACTTCAGGGCCTCAGTGAGGTCTGGAGGACAGGCTGTGCTTGCTTGGCCCTGGCGCCCAGAGGTGGGAGACGGGACAAGGACCTAGGTGGGTGAATTATACAGCAGGTGCTCCTGGGAGAAACCAGGATGGGCAGAGAGGGAGGCTAGGAAGGAAGAAGCCAATGGCAGGTGACATTTCTCAGCTTAGACCTGGCCCTGCTGGGAACTCAGGAGCTGGACTCCTGACATCTTAGCCACATGTGGCTATTTAAGCAAATTACTTGTAAATAAAATTAAAAATTCACTTCTCCATCCTGCTGCTGCGTTTCAAGTCCTCAGCAGCCGTTTGTGGCTAGTGACCACCATTTTGGACAGCACAGAGCTAGAACATTCCATCACCACCAAAAGTTGTATTGGTCAGCGCTGCCCTGTACATTCAGTACAAACCATACTTTGGATTAACTATTAATCCTGTTATGTCAGCGTCGTTGGATAAAGACGCACCTAGCAGGTTCGTAGAGCTCACTCTCGAGTGTGTCTGGGTAGGGTATGGAGGCAGAGCCTTGGTACTGCATGTGGGCCCCCGCCATCCCTCTCTGGTCCTGATCCCCTGGCCCCTGTGAACTAAGCAGCCACGCCCCTCCGCCATGATGCTTCGGCCTTGAGCTACTCACTGTGGGCTGAATCTACCCAAACCCTGAGGTAAATTAAACCCCCTCCTTGAAGGTGTGAGTGTTGGGCACTGTGTCCAGTGAGGGGAAAGCTAACACACAAGTTGTCCAGGCTGTCTGCACAAGCAGGCTCAGCGGGCTAAGGCCACTGCTGAAGAAAGTGACAGTTGTCAGCCATTAAAAGCAGCATCCCCACAGGAGGGTTGCATGCACAGCAACTGTGGGCAAGGTCTGAGGAGCAGTGAGCGGCTCAGGAGCCTGGAAGTATCAGTGCCAGGTGACAGGGATGGCAGGTCCAGACAGGCACAAAGGACAGGCGGGGACAGCCCCAAACCATCCACACGCACGGACACGGAAGTGGTCAAGGGAAAGGCCCGCAAGTGCAGAACTGTGGTCTTGTGGGATGGAAGATGCTGAATAAAGAAATCCATGGCTACCGCCTAAAGCTAAAGGGGCTCCATGGGGACCCTCGCTTCCTCCCCTCACCGTCCTGCGAAATGAAGCTCACTTTGTGTGGCATCGGCCCTGTGAGCAGGGGTAGAGTGAGACCTTGGCTATTAC